AGTCAGTTAGCCATGTAAGCTAACCAACAGCTGGGCTTTCTGCTTGTGTCAGCTAAGCAAAAAGCAAGCACAAAGCCAAACAAGGCTAGCAGCTTCATCTTTCAGTCGAAGGCAAACTTCGCGGAAAACGGTGCAGGCGGCAAATCCCACTCCGCTGCATCGGCATAACTGCCGGCCGCAGCTATATGCGGCGGCAGCGCATTGAGTAGCCTCTCCCAAAAAGTATCGAGGGGACTCTGAGCGGGGTTCCCAGACTCAGACGCTTTGTCAAGATACAGGGTACCGCCGTCGGCCTTACCCCCTTCTGGCGCAGCTTTCAAGTGCGAAGCCCGATCATCTTCTGCCTGGGCACGAGGAGGAGGAGCGGGGAAGTGCTGAACAGCCCTGAACAATGGCGTTTCTGCGCAGGCTGTGTTTGGTGCCGTTACGTCGAATAAACCCGAACGCGTTGTGAAACGGACCTGAGAACACTCACGCCATGTAACACTAACATTGCTTGAGGCGTTGCAGCGGTGCACGGCCCGTAGACGAACTTCTCCGAGCTGAAGCCCGTCATGGAGGCTGCCTAGAAAGTGCACTCAGTCACTGCAGTTCATCACAATAGTACAATGTACCTCTTGCAGAAATGGAACACTAAACTGCTTGCTTGATGTGGGGGAGTTCCCGTTGTCTGGCTCCCCCGAATACACACAGGAAGCGTGCCGAGCTACGGTCAGCGAGGCTCACCGGTATGTGCCCATGAAAGAAGAATTCAAGTTTCGTCATGACGGGGGGCAATGGGTTGGCTAGAGTGATGATGTAGCAATCGCACTGCTGAAGCCGCCGCAGCGGTGCCTGGCGTTCCAAATTCCACCTTTTAAGGCCAGCGGCCGGCAGCGCAAGAGCCAGCAGCGAAGCTCCTCCGATGAGAAGCCTCAGGCGCGTTTCGTCTTTCGCCTCGCTGCACACATAACAGAAGAAGAGGAAACAGCACATACATCGCTAACCTCAAGCGCCGCAAGGATTCCCGTTTCCCTAGTACTGTACCAGCTTATGGTTCCTCTCCTTGTCATAAGTCCCATCACCCGCGTAGTCAAGTGAAGACTGCATTGCACTTTTATCAATTTATTCGCTTAAAATGTAACAACGGAACAAACGCCACTGCGAGCGACGCGCAAAACGGTAGATAACACAGAGAGAGCAAAGATGCAAAGGATTCGACTGCTCCCAGCGCTTGAAGAAGTGCCCCCAAAAAAGCACAGACGCAACGCACTCGTAGTGTATATCCAATTCGCCTCGGAGCCCATGGCTAAACACGCGGCTACCTCCCATGGGCTTGGGTGGAGGGAGAAACGCCTGAAGCCACAGAAAGACTACACCAAATCCTGGCTTTAATTATGTGCTGTCTGTTCAAAAGTACACAATGTATTGTAGCTTTCCCATATTTATGAATTTCTTTCTTACACTCCAACACAGGGAAACAGAAGATCGCAGCGGTAAATGCCTAATACCCCTTGCAACCAACATTTCTGCAGTGAGCTCACCTGTGAATCCGTGTACAGACTCCAATGCGTGCGAGTTGTGCTCAACCTATGGAGGTGGGCGAGTGTCAAGGGGGCTTTCTGTGAAGGGGATTCTTCCATGAGAAGAAACGAGGGTTGTGGTTTTGCTTCCGAGCATCGAGACGTTCTATTATCACCCGAATTGTTGCCGTTATTATCTTTTTCAGCTGCAACCGCGTTCTTGTCGATTGCTGCAGCGGCAGCACCCTCTCCTGTTGTATCACGTGAATTTGTCCCCGTGTTGTTGATATGTTTCAAGTCCCCTGTAGCAGCTGCATTGCAAGAAGAAGAAGTTTCTGCGGTTTCGTTCAGAGAGCCGAAGGCAGCTGCTGCTTCAGCAGCCACCATGGCGCTACGCACTGTAGAGAGCACATGAGGAGCGTCAGCAAACGCTGGATTCCAAAACACTTGCGGCCCCAAACCCATCACAGCAACGCCTTGGGTGGAGTGGCGCAAGAGGGGAGGAGTGTAGTGCGTGACAGAGAAAGGCTCCAACTCAGGAGCAAAGCGTGAGGTACTTGACGATGCTGCTGCTCCGGCTTCTGCTGTTGCTGCTGCTGCTTCTTCTGTATCAGTTGCGAACGATGCGTGGTCTTGGCCTTTGTCTGTGTCGTTTCTTTTGCTGCTGTCGCTGCTGCTGGAGGGTGAAGGTAAGCCGGTGATTTTTGCGCGTCTAAAAAGAACAAAGTGCAGCTGTAGCGGCCTCTCTGGGGAGAAGGGGAAGCCCTGAGAAGGCAAAATGTAGTGGCCAAGGCTGAAGGGCAGCAGAGCTAGGAGCGAACGGTGTGCCTTCGACTGGGAGTGCGTCTGCTGCTGTCGAAGCTCTTCTTCTGTTGAGGCGGGCAGCAACGGTACGACAGATCCTTCTGTGCCGCCTTCTTCACTTCGTGTTGCAGCAGACTGGCGACCCTCAGCCTCTCGCTGCTGCTGCTCCAAAGGCACGTCTACGAGGGGAGGAAGAAGCACTGGCGAAGTGTTCAGCGCAGCAACAGCAACAGCAACAGCAATAGCCACTGCAGCAGCAGCTACCCATAACCCCCTATAGCGCCAGCGGCTCTCCTCTGCAGGTCGAGGGGCCGTTGCTGCCTTCAGGCCATGGTGGGGGGGGCGCTTTGAGCAGTGCAACAAATAGAATATTGAGGGACAGAGAACAGCGGGCAGCAGCAACACCACCGGCAGCAACACCGCAAAATTCAGCAGCAAGTCTGTGTGCAGCAGCGCCTCCCCAGCACGACCAGCGGGGCCGCTAGTGCCGTCAAGGAGCCCCAGATGGGCCTAAGACAAAACACAGGAAACAG